AAAAATTTTTTTTTTAAAACAAAGAACAAAAGATTTTAATAAATTGTTTAAATTGTAGGTATATTCAGTTGTTGATGAAATGTTTTTAGCTGGTGAAATTCGAGAAACAAGTCAAATTAAAGTTTTAAAACAATTAACAACATTAACATCACTTGAATAAATATTTAAAATCACTTAGCCAAATAATAAAGAAAATCATTTTTGATCTTTTTGTAAAACAATTAATAATACTGTCTTATGATTATAAATAAAATTATAAAGTTTAAAACAAGGTTGTTTCTTTTTTTTCTGGCTTTCATTCAGATATGAGAATCATGAATATTGAAATAAGATATTGCGATTTGATTTTGCTTTTTCAGAATTATTCATCGTAAGTAATAAGTGTTTATCGTAGTATGGGTCGAAAGCGTGACAATAGTAATTCTACATCACCTGTTGATCAATATCGAAAAGAATTAGGTCTGTATTATTTTTAAATATGATATTTAGTTTCAATTATTTGATTTTATAATAGGTCGACAAGAAAAAAAGGTTGTTACCGAACGTCGTCGAGAAATAAAACGATTGAAATCAGAACAAGAAACTGTATCTTATTGGAAGGTTAGATTATATTTTTGATGTGGGTAATTGAGATATATTGAAACTAAGATTGTTTGATCTGCCAATAAAACTTTATGTCAAGTGCATTTCATATATGAATTATAAGAGAAAGGTTTCTGAAAAACCAAACACGGTAATTTTCAGTTCTGAGAAGATTGAAAATCAGTTTTAAAGAGTAACATATACAAGAGCACAAAATTCTGAACACAGTGAAGGATTGCGACTTTTCCTTGACAAGTTATATGTATCACAACAAAAATTGGAATTCATCGTAGCGTTGGTTAAAAACGTATGTTTTCATTGTGCGATGCTTATAATTTTTTAAAAGACGGTTGTAAGAAATGCGACGACCTCTCATTTTCTTCATAATTATGTGCTCTCTGAAATGTTACTCTTAAAAACTAATTTTCATGCAGTCTTCTAGAATCTGAAAACCATCGTGATCGATGTTTCAGAAATTTTTCTCTCAGTCCATCTATAAAACTTCGGTACCGCATGCCTTTGATCGGGAACTTCATCGGTTATTAAAACAACTATTAAAAATTGATTTAAATACTGAGTATAGTAGAAAAAAAATGTCAGTAGAATCCTTGTGAGATTTAAATGTAAAACACAATGTTCTTGTAGTTGTAATCCGCAGGAAGATTGCTTTATTCTTTCTATTTTGAAATACATGTTTTCGATATCTTTATAATTAATCCTAGGAAAATGCAATAAGATAGTACTTCATATATTATAACAAGACGTCATTCATATAAGGTCTCATATCGAATATTAACAATGTCTTGCATGGTTGGTTATGAAAAGAAGGAAAGTTGCTAAAGTGCATGTCACGCTTTGTTGAAGAGAAGAGCAGTCCGAATTTCTATCCTATATACTTCAAAATTTCTTTTAAATCATGTTTGACAAAAATCAAAAATACGTTGGTCTTATATTTGCGACGAATACTAGGTATATTAAAACATCAAATAGCTACTTTGCGAAGTTTTTCCCAAATTAATAGAAAAATTTTCTAAAATTGGACCGACACAAAAATATCACAAAAAAAATCAAAGGTAAAAGCTAGAATCGTTGAAGGGTGTCTGTTTGAAAAAGTATACATAAAGATGTCATTAGCACATGGTTAATGTTGGAAAGTGGTTTAAAAGAAGAACAGCATCCACACCCACATGTTGATGTATTCAGAACTTTTTGATCTGTTTTTCATTAATCTTTCTCTAATAAATAAATTTAATTCTATTTAAACTGCTCATCTTTTAATATACTCAATAGAAAAGAAACATTGAGAAGTCACCATCCGCATGTTTACTTTTAATCATAGCTGAGATTATTGGTATAAGAAAGATTTCGATTTATAACTTTTTGTTATGATAGTCCTAATTGAAACACAAAGTATATAAGTCATTATTAGTTTCGATACATGTCTGTCTAGAAGTTAGCGTTTTATTGAATTATCTTAGTGTATTTGTATTTTTTCAGAGAATCCTATGGACACTGGCTGGTGTATTATTTCTTGTTTTTATTATTTATGTTTCACTCACGTATTATCTTACTCCAAAAGATACATTATAAATAAAATAGAAAAACCAACTTATTCATTAATCATCAAGTCATTGGATATACGACACATTATTTATTTATGGATAACATGTTTGGTACTACTTCATTTTATATACGAGACTTGAAATCATTTTAAAACTTTTGATTTTGGTGTATTGTTTGTTTTATTTGTTTTATCATTTATTCCTTTGATTTCACTTTTTTTTTGGGATTATTTCTCTTAAAAAGAAAAAGTTAATTCTAGATGTTTCCAAAAACTTTATTAACACGATTATTAAATATTCAATATCCAATCATTCAAGCACCTATGTCTCCATTAACAACACCAGAACTTGTTGCTAATGTATCGAATGCAGGTGGCATGGGTACAATAGCTGCAGCACGAATGACGAGTGAACAATTAAAAAATGAAATAAATCATGTACGTTCATTAACTGATAAACCATTTGGTGTTAATCTATTTATTCCACCACGACAAACTGAAATTTTGCCACAAGCTATTGATACTGTACGAAAACAATTAAAAGAATTATTATTTGATAAAAGATTGAATAATTGTAATATTGATATTGATTCACTTCCAGTAGAACTATCGAAAGATATTTTTTCTGAACAGATTGAAGTTGTTTTAAATGAAAAAGTTCCTGTACTTTCATTTACATTTGGATATTTATCAGATAATATTGTAAAAAAATGTAAACAATTAGGTATTCGATTAATTGGAACAGCAACAACGGCAAAAGAAGCTATTTTCTTAAAAGAACAAGGATGTGATGCAATTTGTTTACAAGGTTCTGAAGCTGGTGGTCATCGAGGAAGTTTTCTTACAAATGATATTGAAACAATTGAACTATCTACAATTGGATTGCAATCTCTCCTTTCACAAACAACACAATTTATTGATCCAACTTCATATCCCTTGATTGCTGCTGGTGGAATTATGGATGGTTTAGGTTTAGCAAATATGTTAACATCAGGTGCTTCAGCTGTTCAAATGGGTACTCGATTTTTAACATGTCATGAAAGTATCAAACTTGTACCTGAAGTTCATCGAAAACTATTATTAGAAGCTAAGAATGATATTAATAAACTTCGACCAACAGTATTAACTCGTGCTTATACTGGAAAACCAGCACGTGGTATACAAACAGCAATTACTGATTTTTTTCGTGCTAGTGAAAATAAGGAAAAAGTTATATTACCATGGCAAATACAATCACAACTTGTATTACCTTTGTGTAAATTTGCTGCCGAAACAAAACAAGTCGATTTTATGCAATTATGGGCTGGACAAAACTATGCACGATGTGAAAATCAATCAGCAGCGGCTATCGTTAATCAAGTTATTGAACAAGCTCGTGATGTATTAAAATATTGAATATAAATTTATCGTTTTTTTCTAGCCAATTCGTAAAAATCAAAGATTTTTTAAAAACTAATAATAATAGTATTGTTTCGATAGTTTAAATCAGGCCAACATAGATTATATGGATCAATTTGATTGACTTGATGTTGAAATGAGGGACAAAAAAATAAAATGAAATGAATTATATGCATAATTATCTATTTAATAAAATTACATTAAAAAAAATACATCTTTAAAACATATGCATGATATTTATTTTTTAATAAAAGTATAACATACATATAGTAACGTTTGAAATTGATTATACACTTAACTGATGATATCGTGTTTTTAATATCTCACGATGGTCGCAATAGACAGAAGTTTAATGGTCATGACAATGGAAACATGTCTTTATACTTTATCTGCTCGAAATATCGACTTACTATATAATCTATTGATTCTGACATACTAGACATACTAAAAACGATCTTCAATATCACTGAAACTTAATCGAACATCTCAAATAAAATGACTGAATTCTGTATTTCATATTTCATAATTTTCGATAGAAAGGTACATTTAAAACACCTGTTAGCACAGTTCTTGCTGAATTAGAAAGTGAAAGATGGTGTAGCTGTTGTTGTTTATTACACAGAGATTGTTTTATTCTATGTATTTGCGAACAACACATATTCCTACCATCATTTTTGCTTAATCCTCAAGAAATGCAATCAGGATGTAACTCATATATTGCCGCGAAACATTATTGATTTACGATCTTTAATCGTATAACAACAACGTGTGATAGTCTGTGACATTTTCATAGCGATGTCTATCGTGGTGTATCGACGATTGCAATGTTTCTACTGTATATATTTCAACATTTCTTTTAGATTGGATTTTACAAAATTTTTTCAAGAAGTTTTTCTTGATTTGTAGTTAAAACATTGTAAAAAGTACAACTTCTCGTTCAAAAGAATACAATACGAGATTTTAAACCGTAATATGATCTTATATTGTTGCATGTGATGCATGAGCAATACTTAGTAAAATCGAAGCAAGTCATTTTTTTGTACGTCAACTTTGACAAAGTGAGTATTTTACATAGAGAGCTGATATAGTGAGCAGAAAAATTATGACAATAGATTCACATGGTGGCCAAAGTCTCAACTCTATATTTTGAAACCATCTTTCGATATTAGAAACACAAAGCGATCGCTTAAGTATACGATCACTTTAGAGTGCCATTGTATGCTTAATATTAGAATTAATTTCAAAAATACTTGCTGAAATAAAATTCGATTGAAACTGATAGATACTATTTGAAAATTAAAACATTTTTCTTTATGGATAAACTCTAGAACATCTCTTGTATTGAAACAATACTTGAATTCATTCGTTTAGATATGACTTAAATTAAATTCTAGAATTGTATTTCACAAAAAAAAAAAATTTACAAGGAAACATACAAAATTTTATTCGCACATCTGACTTAAATAAATTGTAAACGATGTGCTCGATGTTCAGATATAATTATTCGACCATCTTTAAGCAATAAAATATCATAAGGTCCATTAAAACCTAGTTTTGAATGTACTAATTCAGTTATACTAAAATCATGATTAAATATCATCACACGATTATTTCCATCATCACAAACAAATAATTTTTCTGTTGTTTCATCATATGCTAAACCTAATGGACGAGAAAATTCTGCTAAAAGTTTACCACGATGACCAATGGATAATAGATGATTACCATCATTATTAAATATTTGTATTCGATCATTACCCCAATCTGATACAGCTAAACGATCACCTTTCATTATACAGATACAAGCTGGACATTTAAATTGTCCATTATCAGTGCCAATTTCACCCCAAGCAAGAAGAAATTCACCTTGTTCATTATATTTTAATATTTGATGTCCACCAGCATCACATACAAATATATCATTTTGTTCATTTGTACATAAATCACATGGAGCCAAATATTGACCAATATTATGACCATATTGTCCAATAATACGAATTAATTTAAAATCACGATTAAAGACTTTTATTCGACGTTCAGATTGATCAATTAAATAAAGACGATTTTTTGAATCAATGTGAATTGCATATGGATGATGAAAACGTCTTTCACCTGTTTCATTTATAGCTTTATAAACTTGTTGGAAAGTACCATCTAAACCATATGTTACAAGACGATTATTATATGTGTCACATATATCTAAATCAAAAAAAAATATATTAGACATAAATAAAGATGTATTTTCTTTTTTTCTTAATTTACAAATCAATTTATCTTGTTTCGAATAAGCTAATGATGATGGATGAATAAATTCTGTATCGCGTGTTCCACGTTTACCAATTATACGTGGTGTTCTTTTATGATTTTTTGATGATGCAGAACAACATCTATTTTCATCAATTATCGATGTATTTGATAATTCTTTTTGTTCTTGTAATGTATTACTTAAAATATGCATAAGTTGTTTTGAATAATGTTGTACGTTTTTATCAGTGGAACAACTTTTTAATTGTGAAAGTTGAATAGAACTTTCAATTGGTTCAAGTTCCATTTTAATTTCAACAAAACCCAATGAAATAGCATCGAATGATATATCTTGATTAAAAAATGAAATCTATAATGACAGAACTGAGTGTTTAATAGATCCTTTATTGTTATAACTTACTCGACGTCGAGGTGTTTTAACAACAAATATTTGATTTTGAAGATTATTTATATTAATAAAATATTCTTCAAATTTTTCTCGAATTTCAATAGCTTCTTGATCTGTTTCTTCTTTACTAAAAACCAAAGAAAGCAACAATATGAAATTATATATTACTAGATATTCAAATTTCTACTTGTATAGTTTTTCTTGAGAACTTAAACAAAATGTTTTAATTTTGGCAAGATCTTGAAATCGACTATTTTTTTCCTTCAATAACCTATAAGAAAACGGGTTGACATATAAAAAAAGTTACTATTATGGATTAAAAGAATAATATTAACCTTTGTTCATTATTATTAAATTCTTGTATACTATGAAGTAATTTTTTCTCTTCTCGTTTTATTTTATCAATAAGTTCATTTACTTTAACACAAATTATACTAACAATATTAGTTGATTGATGAATATTTTCTTCATGATTTTTTATATTTTCAACTTAAAAAAATAAAATTGTATAAAAAGAAAATTCAATTGTCTTTTGCTTTTTTTTTGTTGTTATTTCTAACCTTCTTTAGCAATTAATTTTTCTGTTTCTTGTTCAGTTTCATTTAATTTTAAACAAACATATTTACGAAATTCATCATAATGTTGTCGACGACATTTATAACATATTGCTTCACGACAATGTTCACATATCTATATATAAATCAAGTAATCTGTTCAATAGAATGAATTCATACAAAAAAAAAAGAAGACATTTACAGTTATTGTATCATCTAATTTACAAAGAGCACATTTAGCTTGAAGCATAGGTCTTAATTCAGTATATGAATGATTTTCAAGTAAATTAATAATTGTTCGATTGACTTCAAATGAGCCAACACCGGAAAATGGTACTCGATAACATCCACGACATACCGGACCTGAAATATAACTATTTCGTATTGAAGTTAAAAAAGTACGAATCTTACATCGACTCCAACGATCTACTGTAATTCTTTCGAGACATGATTTACAAAAATTATGTTGACAAGGTAGTTGTAATGGTTCACGAAAAATTTCAAGACAAATTGGACTTAAATTAGATAATAAAAAGGTTTATTTAAAACAAATAGATAAATAAATAGATATATATATATATATATATTTACCATGTAATTAATGGTAGAATAGTTTTTGAGCTATAATTGGATTTGATCGTACTTATACTAGAACTACTGTTATTAACGTCAGACATGACCTAAGGAAAAAATAAATTAAAATATTATTTTATTGTGATACAAAACTTGTGTTGATTTTTCAATTTTTTCATTATTTCAAATACTTTCGTACAACAAATAAAAAACATGTATATCTGATATATTATGTCAGTATGATAAAAAATTATGTATATACGTCTTCATCAAGTGGTTATGAACTTTAAAGAAAAAAAAATGAGAGAAAAGGTAAAACGAGAGAACAAACTGTAAATATTAGGGACGATTCGTCAACAGCCATAATAATAATAATCATAGAACGAAAGAATGTGTAACAGATGTCAAGAAGAATTATGTTCGAATTTAAGTCCACGCTTTAACATTTATATTGTGAGAAGGTAAAAGAAAAAGTAAATATTTCAACTTACATAGCCCAACATGATTTATTTTAACTCTTATAATCACCAATAGTATCAAGAGCACCAGCTGGAATCTCTCTTTCTTCTTTGTGTTAATATACACATATATATATATATATATGTATAAATGTGCTTGTTCAATCAATAAAAAAAATGAATATTAGTGATGCCAGCAATAAGATTAGATCACCATCATCACTGACATAAGTATTTCTTCAATGATGAATGACCTGTATCGATATTAATACTTCTAATGGTTATGCAATACGAAAAAAAGACGATAAAGTGAATACATATATTTCTATCAAGGTCTTTTCTTCTGCTTTAGGTGATCGTCAATTGTAATGATAAATGCCTAACATCTGTGAAAAAAGGTTGTCGTTCTTTTTCACCTATAGCATTTGTGAAAGAAACATTACAATAGAAGATCACTTAAATTACATATTACCATCTTGTTAGTAGTGAAAGACTATATCTTCAATTGAAATTTAAAGATTAAACTAGATTAATCATAAAAAATATTAATGCTAATCAGATGCATATATTTTATTAAATTCAACAAAGAATAATCAATTGTTCACGCACACTCATATTCAACGTTATGAGACACGAAGTAGGCGAAGATAAAAAGAAAGAAACATTGAAAAAAATACCTTTCTTTTTGTAATCAAAAACTAAATATTTTTACTTGAATTGTCTTTTGTTCTTATCCAATAATCAACAAAATAGACTACGATGATTGTTGTTTCGGTTCTTCTCAGAAAATGAAAAAGATGAAAACAGTATTGTCTATATCCGATGAACTAGAAGATAATTGATTTTTTGTTCTCATTCATTTTATATGTATACAGACCGCAGGGATATAAACAAATAAGCAAAAGTGTGGTGCATATTTTTTTTCTTCATTGTTTTTCACTGATAAGAGTGTTACAAATATTCACGATACGTGATCATATGTACTAATGAATACCATTCAATTTATGTATCGAATCAATGAAAAATAAATGCGTTGGTGAGAATTTAATAAATTACCTATTGGTGAAATTTGGTAAATTATTTGTTTTTATTTGTTCGTCAATTGACATTGAATATAAAATCTTTACCGAGGTATTAATCCGATTTATCAATGAAGAAATTTTATATGTCAATGAAAAACAAATGAATAAATTGAATTTCACTTTGGTTTCGATTTGTGTAAGATCAACCTTTAGATTTACCTTGAAAAGTAAAAATAAGTTAGATTCTATCATAAGCAATTCGATAATGAAATTTAACTGATTCTTTTTCTCTGAAATGTTAATATGTTTTCGTTTGTAAAATGAGGAAAAGGCAATCAATTAAAAAAAGCCTTCTCTTTTATCCTAGACATAACAAAAGTACTACCGTTTACCTTTTGTTACCCTGTGAAAATGCATTCTGTCTATAAATAATACATAATAATATGTATACATTATGAAAGATTGAATCAAATGTTTTAAAAATAAATTTTACGTCTTTCGCCGCATTTTTTTTGTCATTGCCGAGCGTTTGTTACTGATGATTAGTGCTATCACTTTCATTAGCTCATGTTCGGCATTTGTATAAAGATATGATGAAGAATATCCTCATAGAAACTTGTTCAGTTTAATAAACAAAACATATGATGAACTTGAGTGGTACATTACGATTGTCACAGTTATCTATTGCTTTGAAAAATGTATTTGTTTAATAACAACAGTTCATGATTTACCATGAAAACGATATATAAGAAAATGATGAGTCATTACAGATAGTAATTATATAGAACCAAATAACACATTTGGCAAAATGTTGATAAATTAAATTAATAAGATCTATAAAGGTATCTATAGAGAAATTTATGTCTTTCTTTGAAAACAAAGCCGATTTATATTTAAAACAAAACCATCAGTTTTATAAATCTTAAAAATTAAAGAAATTCCTTACAAAAAAAAAAAACTCTTCAACAAAAATTCAATCTTTGTTACGATCTATAGATTTTTCAAATTTCTACGTTACTTACAAGTCGTGCACTAGTGTGATTGCTCTTTTGTTTCTGTTCTAGCAAGATTGAAAGAAATGAGAGAGATATTGCACAGGTATTCACCAAAACGACAGAAATCGATCAATATGTGCCAGCAAAGATTTTATCAACACTGAAGTATATACGTGGTGACAAATTCTTTTGTATACACGTTGCTTGACTAATAATTTAGCTGCTGATCTATTGACTACAGTCCAAAGTATCCAGTAAGTGATTCTTCATTTATTCAAATGACAGTCTTGTAGTTCATTTACTTGTTTTTAATAGCCATTGAGTATTTGATGTTTAAAATGGATATATTCTTATCAATTATTCTTTTTTATATTTAAGCTATTGAATTTCATTTCATTTTTACTGTGAACTCAACAACTCTCTATTTATATATGCGTGAAAATTGTCATTGAGTAAAAAATCATCTTATAAGGACCATTATTTCCTTATATTCTATTCTCTATTCACCATTTTTTCCAATCGAAAATGAAAACAATAGATATTTAAACCCACTGGTTGTTGATCTCGATTTCGATATGTGTTCACGTTTGTCTAAATCTCTATTGATAGTTTCAACTGTTACCTCTTATGTTAGTGTATCTTAAATAAAAATAAAACCACAACTTTCATTTATTTTCACTCGACTTTAAATATTTACAAAAAAAAAACTATGCATCGGTAAAAAGAATTCATATAACAAGGAGAAATGTTCGTTTCGTACAATATTTCTTCAACAGTAGTACAATGAATGAAAAAACATTCAACGAATATTGCCAAGATGTTTTCCTGATGAATGTGTATCTCAGATCAACTGTTCCTATATGATTTAATATCCATTTTCATATAAATACAATGAAGATCATATACAATTACGATGATTACATGTTATCCACATTGATGATATATATCATTCATTGAGTGTTCTCTTTATTAGTTGTAATGATGCCATTCAATTAGACTTTTTCCTGGCACATGATATGTCAAGTGAATCAAAACACAAATGTCTTGATTGCTATGTTTGTCTCATCGAAATATGTATGAATGTTAAGATTAGAATGACAATAGAAACGTTACTAAGGAATGTAAAAACACAAACAACTAGATGTTTTTTTTTTGTATTATTTTCGCACTCATTATTTTTGAAACTAGAATTTAGGAGTTCACACCTATCATATGAATACTTTTGAAAGAAGATTTTTATCGTTTTTCTTGATAAGCATAATGGAGAACAGATTTTATTTAACTTCTATACATCTACATTTTTTTGATCATATGTATAAGTTATTCAAGATCTCTTTCATTGTAGAGTAACTTAAAAACCATATTTTTCAGAGCCGACTAAATATTTTGATTCTCTATTTTTCGCCCTCATTGTCGTACTTTTCCTATATTCAGCAAGATCTGATTATATGACAACGTTGTTGCATTATAGTAAATTAAATTCATACTTATAATCGAGTTAGTACATCGTTATTTATTTAAATGTAATGCACTGATATAAATCCAGTAACACCAGAAAACAGTATTTTCTCATCTAAGAAATTTTATTATCTAAAAAACTGTTTATTACATTGAAGCACTTTTCCCAGCGAAATATAGCAAGAAACTGATCCTAACAGCAGCATGGAAAGATAGTCAGATATTTATGATACTGTTTAAATGGTAAAATGACGTTTTTTCAACTTACTAGGGAAGAGCGATCTTTACATATGATTAAATTTATTTTAAAGTGATTAATCAGCCTACCTTGCTGTTGTTTGAAGTAATTATCATAGGAAAATCGAATCACTTTGTTACTTCATTTTCAAATTGAATAATTTTCTGATTTGTATCCGTAATCGGGAAGAGATACGCTATATAAGTTAAAACTTCGCAAATGTTCACTTATGTTTTATTGTGAGTTACTTTTTGTGTTGATACGAACTTATGAAATGTACTTTCAGCATTATTACATCTATCAAGTTCAAGTCATTAATAATCAAAACATGTTACACATATAAATCAAGCATTACGTTTCAATGAAGATTGAATAAAACATCAATCTTTTCCAAAATAATTATAAATACATCGATTGAAAATACCGTAGGAAGTTTTTAATTGATCGATCTTTTTGATGATTGTTTTCTTTTTTTAGATGAAGTAAATTTTTGATGTTAAGAGTGAATGATCCTTTTGATTTCTTCGAATCATATGATATATCTTGTGATCAGTTACATTTTCAATTAAACATTATATTATTCTCTATACCAATTGGTTTGATAATAATGATGAATAGACAGAGTGAATGTATCATAAATTGTGTACCTCATTACCAAACAGAATAGTAAACAACATGAAAATCGCCGAATTCCTTTCGATTGTTCATGTTTGTGTGTTTCGATAATTAGTTTTTACTTTTACTTTCTTCGAATACCTATCATATACATTCATATATTTACCCTCTATGCAACTATGATGAATACATTATAAATTATGCGTGTCTTCTCATTTATGAACATTAAATCCAAATTTGAAACTTGTTGAATTCAATATCTATTGCTGTTTCAATTAAAATTGTTCAAATAGGAAAAAGTCTTAAATTGCAAAACTTTCGTTGTTTAAATCATGAAAATTTTAATAATATCAATTCTAATAAAACTTATATCTTCAAATTTACTTTTAATTAACTGTAGTTCATAGAGTTCACTAAATATTAATGTTACTATGGACGTCATGAGCCTTTTTTCAATTTGAACACACCATCTAATTGTCATTGTAACATAAAATCAAACATCGATTTGACACAAACTAGTCGAAGTGCAAGAGCATTCATGGAACATATAAAAAAATAAAGAAAACAATGTTCAAAAAAATACCACTTCGAAATATGCGTTTTGGTAAGCGTCTTCTCTTCACGTATCCACATTTCCCAATCCATCCACGTTACAGCTTCAATACATATTGACTTACTATTATAAATTCCGATAAAATCTACTTGAAATCTCGGTTTGGTTTTGATTGACTTCCTTTGTAGCTGAGGTGAAAACCGATAAGCCTTGCTCAATTCAATTCTGCTTTACAAAGCTTATCCTACATCCTGTCAATAATATTAATTTATTTTAAGACGAATTATTATATCCATATAGTTTTATCTTCAATAACACTTCATAACTACTAGATATAGAAAAAAGCATCATACGATTATTTATACCATGTAAAACTGTTTACATATACATCATATCAAATCTATCTCAATCAAAAACTTCTTTGGTTAAAAGTTTGTATCCTCTATATATTGCATATCATCTTTGAAGCTTAAAAGTCTGAATTGAACCAAAACTCATGTCATCAACAAATTGCAATAACTTCTCTTAAAATAAAATAACTGTTGATTAACATTTTTTAAAACGATTTATTATTTACATACGCCTGCATAAATTAAATCTTTAAAACCTAACTATCAAATTTTCTAATTTTTCAGAAAACTAACTATGTTGTCAACTTAAGATCAACTGAAAATTTTAAAAAAATTTATCTTAGTGAAAATTAATTTTCTTTGTGCGCACAAATCAGATGTAGCATGGATTACGATCTAGTCTTTTTTTTACCAGCATAGTTACTAATTGAAGTTAGCTATTAACTTGGTACATTATTATAATTACTAACGTAAGTATCAATACACATAATATTAGAATGTTTCGAACAGTGCCTAGACGTCATCTCACAAAATCGCTGAAACCCAGATTACCGAACTTCGACGAAGAGTATTCTGACCGTCACATACTCATCATAAATTCTTTAAAAATTTTCTTAAACAAGTACAATTACAAAACTGAACATTATTCAAATATTTATGTTGTATTTTCTATTGCATTAGTCAATACATTATTAAAACTCTCGAAATACACAAGGAAGAATTATGTTATTTATTAATAGAAAAAAAATGAACCAAAAAAAAAGCAATCTTTTTTTGTGCTTATGATTCTGCATGTAATAATCGTTGGTATTCAAGGGAACGAAAACGATCATTTGAATCTAATTGTGATTCATCATCCATTATTCGATTTGTTGTTG